CCTGGAACGTTTGACCAATGCAGGGGCAGGGACAGCTCCTTGGAAGGAGCCTGGCTGCTGGCTGAGAGCAGCGGGCGCCGGCTGGTGCAGCAGCTGGCGGCGTGTGCGGCCCTTCCGCCTCATCGGCCCTGCCCCTCCCGCCTCCCCTTGCCTGCGCGCCTGTGCGCCTGTGCTGCAGACGAGCAGATGCAGGAGTGCGCTGTGGACCTGCTGACCAAGGTGGTGGCGGCGGCGGGGGCGGCCAACCCGGGGTGGTGCGAGGAGTGCGCGCTGCCACGCATGCTGCGCCTGGCCATGCACCGAGACTACAGCATACGCGTGGTGAGGGGCGGCGGCGCGTGGGGCGGGGGGCGGGCAGCGAGGTGGCGCTTGTGGCCTGCTGCTGCCGCTGCTGTGCGGCTGCCGCCGCTGCCGCCGCCGCCGCTGCTGCTTCTCCTTGGTCGCTCCCCACCAACAGGCACTCAGACCCCCCTCACCACCCTCACACCCACCCCGCCCGCCCCTGCAGCACGCGGTGGCGGGGCTGGTGCAGCTTGCTGGGTGTGTGCCGGAGGAGGAGCGCACCGGCGCCCTGCTCTCATCCTTTGCAGACCTGTGCGCCGACCAGGTGTGGTCGGTGAGGCAGGACTGCGCAGGGGAGCTGGCGGCGCTGGCGGCGCGCCTGCCCCGCCAGGCGGTGCGCGACCGCCTGCTGCCGCTGTGGCAGGCGCTGGCGGGGGATGTGTCGGCCTGGGTGCAGGCGGCCGCGCGGAGGCAGGCGGGGCCGCTGCTGGCCAGCATACACCCAGACGACTGCACCCAAGGTGGGGGTGGGGAAGGGAGGGAGGGTGGGCGTGCCGTGCACGCGCTGCCGTGCCACATCGTGCGCCCGCAGCCAGGTGCCCACCTGGCGCGCCATCACACCATGTGCTGCCCAGCCCCCGCCCAGGCTCGAACTCGCTGCCTGCCCGCCTGCCCTCCCGCCACCCCGCCCGCGCCCGCAGAGCTGCTGGATGCGTTTGTGGAGGCGGCCGCGGGCCCCGCCACCCTCACAGAGGCCTGCGCCCACTTCCTGCCCTCCGTGCTGCACAGCCTGGGCATGCAGCGCTGGCCGCAGCTCAGGCGCGCCTCGCGCCATGCCGCGCCTCGCATCCTTTTTACGCCTCTGGCGGGAGCGGCGGAGAGGCGCCTCGCCTGCCGGGCGGTGTGCCAGCGCCGCGGCCCATGCCTGCCTGCCTGCCTGCCTGCCTGCCAGCTCACTTGCCCATGCCTGCCTGCCTGCCTGGGACCCGCCCCACACACACGCGTGCAGGGAGGCTGTGTCGGCGCTGGCTGCCTCTGGCTACATCAGCGTGAGGGTGGCGCTGGCGGAGAGCATGCACCACCTGGCGGCCATGGTGGGGCAGGAGGCGGTGGAAGCTGATCTTTTGCCCGTCATACAGGTGGGCTGGCACCCAGGCGCTGCGCGCTGCTGGGGCAGCCCTGGCTGGCCGGGGGGGAAGAGGCCCTGCCTGGGCGATGGCGCTGCCTGGCCTGCCTGGGCGATGGCGCTGCCTGGCCTGCCCCGCCTCGGCTGCGCTGCTCAGCTTGCCGCCACCTGGTGCCACCCGGGCGGCCTTCTGTGCAGGCTCTGTCTGCTGACGAGCACCAGGCCGTGTCTGACGCCCTGGCCGTCAACATCCGCTCCCTGCTGGCCACCCTGCCGCCGCCCGCGCGGCTGGGCCAGCTGGGCTTCCTGGCCCGCATGCACCCCGAGACCGGCAGCAGCTGCGGGCAGTGGCGCATGCGCCTGCTGATTGCGGAGCAGCTGGCGGGCATTGCTGCGCTGCTGGAGCAGCAGGGGCTGGCGGAGGTGCTGCTGCCCGCCACGCTGCGGCTGTGTGAGGACCCGGTGGCGGCGGTGCGCGAGGCGGCGGCGCAGCAGCTGGGCGCGATGGTGGGAGGCCTGCTGGCGCAGGCGCACGGCGGCGGGGACGGCGCCGGCGGCGGGGAGCAGGCGGCGGCGGGGGGCCAGGGCGAGGCGCCAGAAGCGAGCCCGGCGGGGCAGCTGGCGGCGCAGGAGCAGCAGCAGCAGCAGCAGCAGCAGCAGCAGCAGCAGCAGCAAGAACAGCAGGCCGGCGGATCGCCGCCGGCAAGTGCTGAGAAGGTAGAGAAGCAGGGAGGGGAGGGCACCGCCGCCGCAGCAGCAGCGCAGGCGCCTGCGGACCAGGGCGCTGCTGCTGGCGGCCCTGCACCAGCTGGGGCGACGGAGCAGCTGCCGCAGGATGGGACAGAGGAGGCAGCCGCTGCCCCCAAGCAGGCGGAGCAGCAGCAGCCGGAGCAGCAGGAGGAGCCAGCGGCGGCCTGGGCCGGTCCCTCCAACCCTGCGGCTGTGGTGCAGCAGATTGTGCGGCACATGGTGGAGCTGCAGCGCAGCGGAGGCCACCGCGCGCGACAGACATACCTCGCCTTCGTCTCCGCGCTGCTGCTGCCCCAGGCCCCGCCGCCACCCCCCGACGCTGCGACCCCAGCCGGGGCGGCAGGGGCGGCGGCGGCGTCGGGCACAGAGGCGGCGGCAGCGCAGGGCGATGCGGCGCACGCAGCGCATCCGGCGCCGGGGTGGCCCCAGCTGGGGGAGGGCGTGGCCAGCAACGGTATTGTGCAGGGCCTGCTGGAGGGCGCGGTGGCGCTGGCAGCCGACCCTGTGCCTAATGTGCGGCTGGCGGTGGCGCGCCTGCTGGCGGCGCTGCGGGTGCAGCAGCCCCGCCTGGCGGCGGTCAGCCCCAAGGTTGCAGAGGCGCTGGCCAGCCTGGCGGCCGATGCCGACCGAGACGTGCAGGCAGCTGCCGCTGCGGCGCCGGCGGGGGAGCTCAACCCGCCATGATGCCAGCTGGCAGCGGCCGCCCCGCCCGCTGACACCACACTAGCATATCTCCACACCGGCCATCAGCATACCAGCCTTCTCCCTCTTCACGCCCGCTTCCTTTCCACATCCCCTCCCTTTCATTCTCATCGCTTGCATTACATCTGTAGCCACAGGACCACGTGTTGCATTCCATTGTCTGCCTGTGGTTGACAGACACGTTTTTGGGGGGATGGCTGCTGCTTGTTGCACCGGCACCGCCCAGCAGGCAGCGGGCCGGAGTCGAAAAGGGGGGTGGGTGATGGCGTGAGGCAAACGGTGAGGGTGGGTGTGCGGGAGGGATAGACCGCCTCTGAATCCAAGCCCAGGCAAAGCTTCAGGCCTGCTGCCACGCGGGGGAGGGGCCAGTCGGGGTGGGGTGAGGTGGGGTGGGGTGGCAGGAAGCGGCCACGAGGTCCGCTGCGCCAAAAGGGTGGATGGGAGGGGTGCAGCGGAGCAAGGTCCGCACGTGCATCGGGGCAGGGAAGCTGAACAAACAAATTGGAGCGCAGGGGCCTAAAGTGGCCCGAAATGAACCTAAGGGATTGGGCCGCGCGGGGCGCATGGAGGGGGTTCAGCCGTTCGGCGGTAGACGGTTCTGTATGGCTGCAGCCCCCTCGGCCACTGGGCCCTGCTCACTGCCCGCCGCTGCGCCTGAAAGGGCGAGTGGACTGGGCAACGGCCATGTGGAGTGGCAGCAGGCGCGGGGGGGGG